GAAAGGGACGATAGCGGCGCGGGAGGGAGGGGCGCGGGAGGGAGGTACCTCAATGTAGAGGGCGGAGGGCGCTGGAACAACCTGTTTTGTGTTTTAGCGCTAGGGTGTCGGCGCATCCCGGGGAGAGGTGGGGGGTGTGATGTGTGACATGTTGATTCTCGCTGACATGTTTTGTGGGTGTCGGTGTGGAGCGTTCTGACCAGATTTGTCCGGGTACACTTGGTTCGTAAGGTGTTTGTTCATGCCGGCAACACTTTATGGTTAACATGCATCGTGTGCGGATGAAAGCGGGGTTCGGTAGGTCTCGCAGGGTGCTTGTTTTACCTAGGGCATTAATAGTGTGGGCATGTTCGACTTTTTTTTTTTCCCANGTTGTTGTCGTTGATACAACTTTTAATGATGTCTCTGCATCCCTGCATTAAATATTCGTCGCGTGGGTGAAACATTGCTCCAGGTTGCAGACCTGAAGGAGACCCACACACACGCTAAAAATTGGGGTCTTGTCGAATCCCATCGCGAACACATTCCTGCGCTTCAAGTGAGCATGAGCGGAGATGGGAAAAATTGCAAGGCTCCAAATTTGCGGAACCCAAGCGTGCCTCAGAGTTCCCGTCAACACCCAACGTAGTATTGGGTTGCAAGAACAAGTCTTGCAAATAGGAAAACACCAAACGATATGCATGTCCGCAGATTGCCGGCACGGCAGGTTACCCGCAAGACAGCAATGTCTTCGGCGTGCTTCCACCGTATTTTTTCGTTGATACTCACTTGTTGCCGCAAGGCATCCTCTCAAAGTGTTGTTGCCAACCAAACAACCTACAAGTCTCTGCGGAGGCGCACGTATCCTAAAAAAAATGATGCTACGAAAAGACGAAGACGTTGACTCAACCATGCCCAACAATAAAAATGAAACCTGGCCCAAAAAAAAATAGAAGGCTACGACCCTCGCAGCAAGCAAGCCCTGCAGCAGGGAGAGAAAAACAAAAAACGCGCCCTCGTGTTCGTTGAATACAGGCACAGCAACTTGCCCGTGAACCACAACGGTCTCGGCGTTCTTCCACCGTATTTTTTCGTTGATACTCCTTTGTTGCCGCAAGGCATCCTCTCAAAGTGTTGTTGCCAACCAAACAACCCACACGTCTCTGCGGAGGCGCACGTATCCTCAATGCTGCGACGAAACGAAGATATTGACTCAACCATGCTCAACGATAAAAATAAAACTCCCCCCCGCCCCCCCCCCGTCACGCATGCATAAAATTCGACGATTGCACGGTAACACTTTTCCGGGAGTGCATATGGGTGTTATTCGTCGCCAAACATTTCCTTCTCGATGCCGGCCAACATTTTGCGCAGGAATCTAACTCTCGTCTGATAACCCTCTTTTTCTTTCTCCTCCTCCAGAATTTTTTTCGAGAATTCGGCGTGGGACTCGGTCATTTCCTTGTGGAGGGCGAGGCCAGAAGCTTTGCTGTCGTGTTCAGCAGTCTTGCAAGCGTGTTCTCATTTTTTTCGGACCATTCTTATTTTTCCGATCCGCCAACCTTTCCCAGCAGTGGCTCAATATCGGCGAGTGCGGTTTTTATGACAGCGGCGTTGTTGTCTTGGTGTGGGTTTATTACGTCTGTTGTGGGAATTCTCGGGTCACTCGCCTGGTCGGGACCGGTGTGTGTACGTCGAGCCGTGGCGCTTTCCGTAAATTTCGAAAAAATACGTGCCTTCGCGCCTTCTGCCGATAAGAACCACCGGAAACCCTAGTTACGGTTCCGTGAAAAAAGTGACTATTTGGTGAAAAAAGTTACGTATTTTTTCGGCCTGATAATAATACCCCTAATCGGGCCATTCGGTTGAAACATTGATGAAGTGAGTCTTGTACACGCAACTGGGAAAACTTCGATTAAAATCGCACGCTTGAAACAGGAGCAACAAGTCTAAGCCAACGAGGCTTTGCGCCACCATTCCCGACGATGCCGGGTCAGCAGGTCCTCCTCCCAAAACTCGATGATCAACCCTGTCAACCTCCGTTCGTGTGCCTGTGTCGTCAAGGGTGACATGTTTCTCCAATTCCAAGCACATCTCTCCAGGCGGAACAAGGTCAAATGTAGATGTGCCGCTCCAGTTTTATCCGCGGGATTGGCGTTCATATTCTCTGCTTAAGTCAGGGGTAGAAGCAGCATCTGCCTCTGGTGGGGAAGTCATGCCTCCCGTCTTCGATTCAATAGCCACTACTTGGCGCCATGTGTTTGGGAGCCCACCTCTTAACCCTCAATGAACCCCCCGATACGTCCCTGCCCTTCTAGCTCGCCCCTGCTATATTCTGTCGCAGAGTTCGGGCGGCAACAGGAATAGGGCTCCGCTGAAGCACACGGCAGCTCGTTTTCGCTTGCTTGCTATTTTGACATGCACAATCGACTGCGCCGTGCAGCCCGACCAACGCAAGTCTCAACGGACAAGGGCAATATTCTGACTTATCATACATTTGTCCTAGCATGTCAGCGGACGACGGGCGAGACATAGACAGCAATACTCAGAAGTAAATGAAAATTGTCAGGGCACAGCGGCGGCCGTGGAGAGCAGAGGACAACGTGAGTCTAGCAAGGTAGCGCATCCGCTTGAGGGGAACACGCTGTTCATGAACATTTCCGCGATGCGTAGCGGTGGCGGGGAAAGAGGTGCTTGTAGCCGCGGCGTGTCCGTTGGGGTTTGAGGAAAGTACGGCATGAGAGTAGTCGAGGTCGCAAACAGCACGAGTGTCGTAGAGTGCTTTTGGGGCGCCTAGAAACGACGACGCGCATGTTCGTGCCGTACGATGGACCAGCAGACTACTAAAAAGGGATCGTGCCTTCCATTCGACGCGGCGTGCGCGACTTGTCAGCTACCGATGATGATACACTCAGCTTCACTCGTGCCTATTGTGCAGGTACTCGGGTGGGACTCGACTGGAGCAGTCGAATTCAACGATGTTGTTGGCAGCAACAACACTGCCGGCGGAAATGGCGGATGCTTCTACGGCTCAGGGAGGGGCATTTTGAACGCAGGGACTTTCATGCGAAGCTACGAAGGCATTAATGGGGCCGGTGTTTTTTTTTTTTTGTCTTTACTTCAAATCAGCGCGCACAGCACTAGTGCCGTTTACTCCAGCCCGTGGTCACACAGAAGAGCCCCTCTACACCCTCGCCTCCTGCGGTACTTTGCCTTCGATTTTTAATGCGAGAAGATTTCAGCATTCTCTTCCCTCTGTGTACACACGAACTAGCGCTATCCACTAGACCAGAAGCGGAAGCGAGAGAAAAACTCACTTTGCAAGAAAAGCTCGCTTACGCCGGGATTCGAACCCCTGACCTGACCTCTACAAGGTTTCGAGGTTACCAACAAGACCTCCGGGGCGACCGGGGTTTTTGCATGTGAGTGTTCAAATAGACGGGACACAAGCACTGTTGAGAAGTATAAAGAACGGGTAGGGTGAATGAAAATGCATTTTTTCGGCGACTGACATCGCCGTCTCAAAATATCAAGAGAAGTATCTCACGATACAGTAGACGATGAAAGCACCGGTCATCGTGTGCGCGTGCGTGTACCAGCATGCATGTTTTGCGGAAAAAGAAAACATAGTTTGCCTTTGGTGGAGAAAACGTATATTTCCTGTATTTTTCTCAACCATCCACCGTCACAAAGTGGCATGCTGGCGAATTTAAAACATTGCAAGGTGATGTTCAGAACACCCGCAAAGCGAACCAACCACCACGAAATCCATTACAGGTTGTTAGCGGGCTGGCTTGGTATCACATAGTAAACCCATGTAATACGAGGCTCCTGACGTGATTTGACATGGAGCAAACAACAGCGTTCAGAACACGCACCGCTGCAGGCTACGCCAACTCGAAAAGGCAAAACCACTATGCCAAGCGGCTCAATCGATGTGGCTCAAGCGCGTTGACTTCGAAACCGACTAGCAGAACAGCGTTGTTTCCGCGAACAATCGATAGATAATTCGGGAACACCCGCTACTGTGTCACAGCCCGATAGCGTGAGGAAATCTACCCCCTGAAGTATCGATGATGTATCGAGAGTACGTTGTGCTGATCACAGCCCGAAAGGTCAAACCGTGTATATTCGTTTTGAAGTCGACTCCATTCAGTGATGTTTTTAGGCAGTCGAGGCGCCGGGAAACTAATTCCTGGTAACGTGAGCAGCCACACGCAGCAGGTGAGTCATGTCGATGACCGCTTCAGTCGTTCTCTTATTCAGAAACACCGTGCTGGCAGCACTTGTCTTCAGCAACACGTACCACAGCAGCAATAGCACAAGTCGCTGATGAGAATTTTGGAAATAGCTGTCCTCACAGCGACGATCCACCCCGAAGTCGGGTTTTACCTCCCTCATAAGTGCAAAGTTGCAGGCACACGAAAACGCTGTTGTGATTGGGTTAGGCCGTCCTCGTTTTGTGTGCTGAAGGCTCTGATCCGCCACTACTATTGTGTACCGGAGACTTCCGAGCATGGTTTAGGAGTTACAGAAATGATTTCGGACGCTTTACAAGAGGAGATTGACTGCCCCCCACGGTAGGGTTCCGTACGTTTTCCCGACATCCGAGTATGCGAGAGGCTTTTCTTTCGCCGAAGGCTACATGCACACAAGGTACTTGCACGCGATTATTTTGGTTCCCCGTGGTCACCCTACACGGTGACAGGCCACACCGGCGGCAATAGCAATATTTGCTTCATTTGTAGCTGGGTATGTTGCCGTTACCAGTCATAGAGACCAAAGCAATTGCTGAACGCGACCATTTCGAATTGCCGGCGGAAAAATCTTGGGTGCCGTCTCAGATCGCCCTCAAACTTCATGTCCGTGCACCGAAGGATGAATGTGTAGATGTGGTGATCGTCACAAATGTTTCGCAGTCGCATTTGCGGGCAGCTACATCAGCGTGGAGGGAGGCAAACTCACGACGCACAGGGCCGTGGGCAGCGGTGGTTTCCTGTATGCCGCGGCCGGCGCGAACGTCACGATCAAGGGAGGAGCGATGTCGAACAACGTGGCCGACAGGAGGGCTGGCGCGGTGAGTAGGCACGGGATAGCTGACCCCGCATCTTCGTCATCACCCCAGTAGTGCTGGGAGCACTCCCACATCGTCCCTCTCCCCCCCTGTCAAACAACTGCTTGTGGGTTCAACGCAATCTTCTGAAAGAATTATATCTTGTTAGCTTTTTTTCTCCGAGGTCAGAACTCGAGACTAGGATTATTCTCTGCGTGTAGCTTAGAGAGCGTACCCGGTATGCATATTGGGCAGAGTTCAAGGTCTGTGTATGAAGCGGGTGTGTGTGGGGGTAGCTCAGACGTTCGCTGCGGCAACGCAGGCAGCGACACTTGGTGCCTCGTTTCCCGGCCGAGGTGTACTCGCGAGCGGTAGTTTTGGGCCTCGTGATGCCTTCACTTTGTCACTATACCCCGCTGTAGGTGCACTTCTCTGGAGAGTTCCTGGATATGGGAGGCTCCAAAGTCACGATCGAGGGAGGAACGTTCAGCAACAACGACGCGCTATAACTTGGGCGGGCAGTTGTGGCTTGGGGAGACACTACCGTCGTGACCATCCAGGGGGGGAATTCTTGAACAACGCCGTGAGTGTTTGAGAAATGCTTTCGCGTTCGCTCAGCCAAATGGTGATCAGATTGGCGCTCGGGCTGTTGCACTTGTGCTGCAAATCCGTGCAACACTTCCAGTGGATGTGGTGCGTGGCGACCCTTCTTTGGTTTCACGATGCACAACTGATGACGAAGTACACGCTTCGGCCGCACATCTATTTCACTCGCGTTCTTCCTTTGCCTGCCAGGTTTTTCGGCGGATTCATTTTTCTCGACGAAGAGGCTAGTCTCTCCTGCGAGGGTGCCATTGTCCAAGGAAACACCGCTGGCGATCAAGGTTGGGGCATCTAAGCCCGAGACGCCACCTGGGTAGACTCCAGCTATGACCTTATTTGCAACCAAGCACCACAAGGAGCCGCCGCTTACCTTACCAGTAGTACCGTTGAGGTCGCCAATTTCCAGAACCATACGGTATTCGATACCGAAGCGTCTGGCAGTTACGTGGTGTACGTCACCGAGACCTCAGTCATCGCGTCAGGCGTAAGCTTTCAGTCCGGGGTCAGCTTGCAGGAGGATTCGTCCAACAGTGCCATACAACTCGAGGGCGGAGCGACGCTCATCGCGGAGGAATGCGTATTTGGCGGCTGGACGGGTGACAGCGTGATCCAAAACGCCAACCAAACCGAAGGCTCCCTCGTCCTGGACAGCTGCGACTTCAGTGATACCACTGCGACCATGGTAGTCACCCTTGTGGGCGATCTCACCATCGAAGACGCCGCTGTGGTGAACAACTCGCTTGTTCTTGTAGACAGAGCCTTGCGCTGTGAGAGTCTCGGCATCTGCGGGTCTGGAGAGTGTATGGATAGCGCGCTTGGCGTGCTTTGCGAGTGTCTCGAGGACGACGAGTGCTTGAGCGGCGTTGGCTTCACTGCCTATTCGGGAGGGCTATTGGCGCTCTAGCGGGGAGTCGCTGATAATCCATCAATGCGTTCATCATGCGGCTTGTGTCGGTGCAACTCAGATTCCGAGCGCACAGGACTACTGCGGCCAAGGGTACCAGGGTCCATGTGAGTGAAGTACCGCTGTTGAGGAGGCCAATCAATGAGATCGAGTTGTTTCGAGTCGGGTCGGGAACCTAGGTACTGGTGTTGCGTTGGTGAGATGGTGAAAGATGGTTGCCCTGGCATGTGGGTGGCGATGTTGTCCGCGGTAGTATTGTTCCATCTCGGCTGCTGATGCTCAGTCAGTTTCCTGAACCTGCGGTCAAAACCCTCATTTGACCATCTCTGTATTTCCGTTGGCAACAGTCTACGCTGTGTACCGAGGGCTTCGGCAGGTGCGCCGGCAACACCTGCCACTCTTGGAGGGTACCAAGTGAAGATTGCTCACTGCGGCAGGATCGTTGTTCGCTCTCGTGATTCTGCTGTTGATAATCCTGGCGGTGGTGTATCTTGTCGGGGGTCTCAATGCCGTGGACTTCGGCGGTCGCTGTCTACCAGATCTGTGCTGTTTGATTGTGATAGCAGCTCACACAAGGCAGGGTCTTCGGGCAAATCCCCCGGGAGGGATACGCTGGCTGACTCCGTTGCGCCAGCGTTGAAGGTGGCCTCTGAGGTTGAAGGACGTGGAGGGGAGGGAGCTGTGTCTCGCAAGGGCGTCACAACGGTACCTATTTCGGAGGTCGACGTTTCGGAGATGAAATCTGAGGCGTCCAGCGATACCGACAGCGAGGATGACCACGCTCCGCCGATGGCAAGGGGAGTCGGTGTTCCCCAGCATCACTGCCGTGGATTTTCCCCCTGCCTACGCCCGGTTCTTGTCGTGGATCGACATGCTGAGCTTCGACCTTGCGCACGTGCTCTCAGCCTCGTGTGTCTTTCCAGTGATGAGTTTCTACCAACGCCTGTTGCTGACGACCCTTTGACCTCTAGAGGTGGCCATGGTGCTGGTGTTGACGTACTCGATTACGAAACGCAGAGCAAGGGCTGGATCAGCCGGGTCTCTCAGGAGGAGGGCGGCGTGGTCGCGGCACGTGGCGGCAGGGCTGTTGCGGTCATTCTCGGTGAGTCCTCACCCGAACCGGGTATTCGGTCAACGTTCACCCGAACAGACAACGCTCCGACCGGGCAGTGTGTCATGCTCGTTCGTGGGTCTAAATGTAGGTAGTTTCATTTTTGTTTTCGTTCCAGGTTCCAAAGTTCACCATCTGCAGCTGTTTGCCGCGTGCCCAGCTCCTGGTGCTCAATCTGACGTCCAAACAACGGATGAAAGATAAAAGCGCTTCGTGTTGAGAATCGTCAGAACGCATCGACATCATCCAGCCAATCTCCTTCCTCACCCGTTTGATACGCGTTTCGATATTACTCGGAGTCGTGATTGTTTTGGTGTGCCTCTCTGTGTACCTCACGTTTCTGCTGGAAAGATAATAGTTCGATATTGAATGAATCTGATGAGCGGCGCACAGTTTCTCGAGCTCAAATATTCGTTTCCGATAAGAAGCTCGAATCTGGCACGATCATTGTGCACAATCTGCTTGATCGCCAATACCGACGAATTGTCCAGGTGTTCATCGCTACCTCTAACATGGCGTTCAAGACATTCGCCTACGACGATGAAGCGGTGGAGGGAGAGAGCTGCCTCAGGGCGGACTACAGCATACAGTGCCACACCGACAAGCACGGGTGGTACAAGGTCTACGCTGAGGTCATGATCATGGCGAGGGCTTTCATTCACGTGCCCAGCTTTCGGTGATTGGTCTTGCCAACAAAGTGTCTCTTGTTTATCAGCGAATGAATCAGGTGATAATTTACCTATTGTTCCTCGTGACCTGCGCCGCCCAGCTTGTTCGTGCTGAGTGACGCGTCCCAATTTGTTTCATCCCGTTTCCCTACGTGTTCGATCACACAAACACGCGCCTTTACTGGTGGGATTCCAACTCGTCTCTCCATCACACCCGCAAATGCATACCCGGTCGGCATCCCTCTACTTTACGCCTTCATACTCTGGTAAAAACCGAGAGTCGCTCAACCCTCGGGTGAAAACTGGCGCCGTCATCAATCCGAGAGCGGATGGAAGCACAGCCCGAATTACTTACAAGCCGAAGTACTCAGAGGATCTTGAAGAAAAGTTGGAGAAGCGCAGGCGCAACCCCGACCTGATTCCATCCATGTTCCTGTGGAAATAATTCGGTGAGGGGCTGTAGTAGTGGAAATCTTGGCAGCGCGTGGCTCGCAGCACATTTCCCCCTCAATTCCTACCCATGTTTGCTCCGGGTATGTTGCGATAAGTCATGTGTGCCCCTCAACGTGACTTCGACTGGCTTCGACAGGTAGAGTTGCAGACACGCCCCCCCCCCTTCACGTTTTCTGGGGCGGGGAACCGTTGACACTACCTTTGGAACCACGGTCTGTTTACCATGCGCAGATCCCGAAATCTACTACTACGAGGTGGTCGAGTGCGGACGAAGGATACTTCTGACTGGAGTACTGATTTTCATCTCACCAAACACGGCAGCACAAGTGTCCGCAGCTTGCATGTTTGCCTTCGGAAGCCTTCTGTGCTTTGAGCTCTTGGGGCCCCATCTGGAGCCCGTGGACTCGTGGTTGTACCGCCTGGTGAGTTGTGGCAACGAAGGCAGGCTCAGAAACTCAACCGTGGCCATACTCGGAGCCTCTAAGAGTCAGGCATTCTACACCCGCAGCTCTGACCTTTTTAAACGTTGTCCCCTCCTGGTGCTTGCCTGCTTCGAACTAGTTCCTACCCATTTGCAGGGCTGCTTGTGCATCTTCCTGAGCAATTTTCTAGCTTTGTTGATCAAGGTGGACTCTAGAGCGGACGGCAACCACGATGTCGTCGGTGCTATCATGATTGGAATTAATGTGTTCCTCATCATGGCGGTGCTGCTGGCCTCGTGGTTCTCCATGCAGCAGACGATGGATGAGTACGTTGTCGCGGCGGGGACGCTGTTGGCGTTTGAACAGCTCTCTGTACACGCCGCCTCGCGCTTGCGCGCGTTGCAGGCTCCAACCCCTCGTCGACCGCCTCTTCGGCCGTCGGTGGTACCAGCTTGCCTCGTTCGTGCCGACACCTAGGGGTTGGCCGGCACGGGGCGGTCGGATTCCGGCCAAGATTCCGTGCGGAGGGAAAGCCCAAGCGGCAGTGCCTTGGAGGAAGGAACGTGGCAGAAAGGCAAGGCTGACGACATTTTACAGTAGATCGTTCTGTGCATGTGAACCCTCTCCTTCGCTCGTGGCGGCCATTACATGACTTTGGCTATCACTCGTTGCACAAAAATGAGCCGCGGGGGGAAGAGGTCGAGAGGGAAAAGGCTTGCGTTCGGCACGACGAGGGTCAATTGGTTTGTTGGGGATTTCATTCGTGTCACTTTTTTCGCATTTTCTAAGGAGAAGCCTTTCGTTTTGGTGTGGCCGTTGCTGCAGTTAATTAGAACCAAGGATCACTTTCATGTTCCATGCGTTCAATTTCATTTTTTTTTTTTGTCTCTCAGTTATCCAGGGAAAATATGCTTGTCCACCGGTCACACCCGTCATGATACTTTTTCGTCGCAATCACAATGCTTCACGCCCTGAGCAGATGTGCGGCTAGCTCTTTCGCACTTGTTTTGGAAGCTCCCTATTTTGCGCGTCCTCCCAGAATTGCAAGATGAGGTCGGGGGAACGTTTTTCCCATGCGCTGCATCATCCTGGGCGCAGGCAGCAAAATTAATAATCGATATATTTGTCTGTTGCCGCAAGTAGCGTCCCCTCACCCCGCACCCCAAAGGAGACGCGATTTGTAGCGTAATCCGACGCAGATGTTTGGCGCAATACCTGTACCACGGAGTGCAAGCTTGCAGCAGTCGCGCATCCGTCCATTGACAACCACAGAAGGGGGTCTCGATAGCACTGATCGAAGAAGAAGGCATCCATGGGGCTTAGAACCGGTGTAAGACACTTGAAACCGGTTTCTCAAAAAATTCACCCCTGGAAACGCCCACAAAATCTTTCTGATATTGTATTGTGGGAACAGAAACTGAGGTGCGTAAAGGGGATTCAGCGAAAACGCCGTCCGGTCTTGTCTTCCATTTATTTCCCTTGAACTATTTCCCTTGAACTTCATTTATTCTTCGACTGTCGTGCCGGGGGAAACGCAAAGCGGGGAGTGGGGTTCAGACGAGACTGGGGACTACCCCCAACTTGTTCTATATCCCTGTAAGCTCACCGCGCATGGGCGAACTCTCGGAGATAGAAAGCGCAAAGTGATTATCCAACAAGCAAAAAATATGGGCAATGAGCTAAGGACATATCGTAATCAAAAGGCCAAGTGCTACATACATGACTCGCGTGTAACGTCATTCGACGACGGCGGCGACTGCAGCGATTCACGTTGACGCTCAAGCAAAATCCGAAAAAACATCGTTGTCAACTCAAGGAACAAGTCTTCCAGGAGGGAGGGTTTGTCCTATCCGCATAGGACGTCGGTGTCGCTTACTCTTTGCTTAAAAGGAAAGGGCTTCTTGCTCCCACGCTGCGCATCGGCTAAGTTCTGCGCGTCGCTGCCAGTGCAACTCTTACAGCCCGCGATGTTTTGGCCGGCGTTGCCCATATCGAACAACCGAATCAACAAAATTTATCGTTGAGCAAGAAAAAGGTGAACCTGCAAACCAGTCTATATGTGAGACGATTGCAAATTAACATTATCCCAAGAACTAGTCATGACCCCGAGAGTGATGGGTCCTGCACTGGCTGTCACAAAACACAGGTCCACAAATCTCCCTTGGGAAAAACCTAACACGAACATATTCCACTTCGTTACTCTAGAAATGGTTGAGATTAACCTCCATGTTCATAGAAATCGGCGAATCACGAAATACTCGCTTTCGTGGTAACCCTACACCCAACAAGGGGAAGCAGACCGGAACCATACCCATCAACCGACTAAACGCACGCACCCTCTTTCGCTGATTTGGTCCTCCAAACGAGGGTTTTTGAAAAATCCTTTGAGCAGAGCGGCGCTGTGATCCGGGCGATCCAAAAGCGACGTTATCCCCAATCAAAATCGAACCGACAACGCTTAGCTATCGTCGCGGGTCACGCGGTTGATCTTCCCGAAGAACGGAATCTTGTTGGGGATCGCACCGGTGGCCGAGGCAGCGATCGAGTACGCCACCGCTAAGACCAGAGATACCGAGAGGATATCCGTCGCTATGTCCGTCACGGGAGAGATCTTGTAGGCGTCCGACCCCAGGGACCAGGTCAAAAGCGGCCCGAACACGGACGGGACGATGAGCGCGATGTCGAAGTTGATCGCCTGGAGCATGTTGAACCTCAACAGCTTGTTGATGTTCTGGTTGCTGGACAAGATCGACTGCAGAGAACAACGTGGGCGGGTGCGTATGACAGGGTGAGCCACCTAGATATGAGCCTTATTCGGTCGTCAGCAGCATATCAAGACTGCAGATAAATATTAACATGCTGTCACAAACCGCTTGAAAACAAAATTGTATGGATTGCTGTGTATGACGATGGATAAAACAGCCCAAAATCGAGTGGCAGGTCGCCAAGAACCATAGCGGCACTCACCATGCCGAAAAACGCCACCAGCGTCGCGAACGGCAAGTTGTTCACCGCAATTAGGATTGCCTGCAGGGTAGATGTTCGGACGTGCACGCGCAGATGGTACGAGAGGCAATAATGCGTGAGGCGAGAATCGCTCGGATGGGAGCACGCGCTAACCGTAAACAGGTGAAAATTACCGTGGGACCTCCAGATTAGCCCGATATCGGCTAGCAGTACACGTTAACACGTAAATCCCCTCATAGAAGTAGTCCTCATTTAGTATTTTTGTTTCATTTTCCTCACCTGGAGCATTTTTCCGGTGAGACGCTGCTGGATACTGATCTGGTTTGTGACGAGTTGGTTCTCTCACTTTGCACATCTGTGCAAGACCATCATCTCAAGGTTTAACAAGCATCAAACACTGCATGCACATTCCCTAATGCATTAACCTATTCCTTGCTGCAGCATCACAACAATCCAGGTCCAGATGAGTCATTCCGGATGCTTCCGGTAGACAGGGTGAAACGAAAAGAGAGCAGAGGAAATGGTAGTTTCGCTGGTCTATCAAGGATCAGAGACAACACCTAACGTTTGCTTACCACCAGTGGCTCCGACCATGCCATCTGCTGCGGGAATGTGGAATAAATGTGCTGGGCGTACACGATTCCATCCGAAAGCGGCAAGATGTACGGCAACGCGCACAATGCTTTCTCGAGGCTCGTCGCCGAAGCGGCCTCCCTGTCGCTGTCGGCTACCGAGGACAGCATCTTCCCTTTCCCCGTCGTCTTGGCGTCCATCTCCCGCTTGCGCTCCGCCTGTCGCGCCTCCAGCTCCTCCTCTCGCCGCTCGCGGAAGATGCTCTCGAGCCTAGCTCGAAGCTCCTCCGTCGGCGCGAACTCTGACTGCTGCAGCACGCCGTCCCCGTTCTGGTCGTACAGCTTGATCAGTCGCTCCGCGAGGTCGTCGGGGAACAGTGCACGCCCGGGGAGCTCCAAGATTTTAGCCTCCACCTGAGCGTTTGGTGTCATCGAAAGGGCGGGGGGGGGGGGGGGGGGGGGGGGGGGGGGGGGG